GTAAAAATACAGTTTTTAGCCATACCCTGTAACTTTAAAACTACACATCCCATCTTCATAACTACATATTTGGAATCAGCACACTTAAAACATAAACATAACCAAAAATCAGCCAAATACATCCAGGGGTTAAAAAGTTAGCTGGAGGTCCCTTTATGACCGACCGCAAGCACATTTTCCTGCCCAAAACAGTTCCATAGATTTGGGCTGAGGTCGGTCTATTCTAGGTTGAAATCCACTAAGTCCCATCGCCGGTCGGGAATTTTAGTTCCTGCAGCTGGAAATACTAAGGCTGAAAAAAACGGCTGAAAAAACGACTAAGTCCCATCGCCGAATGGGACTTAGTCTCTGCAGCTGTAAAACCAGTAGGGGAGAAGGTAGAGCTCAGCGGTGTTCGCGGAAATGTGTAGCCGATTTTAGTTCCATTGGCTACACATACCGCTGACCTCATCGAATGATCAAAGATGGCCGCCGCCACGTGTTCAGCAAACGAACAAAGACCTCCCAGCATTTCCCTGGGAGGTAAATTGCCTGCACACTTCCACTTCTGGGTGGTCTGCCTGTGTGGTACTTGGTTCAGTAAGCCCCATTTACTGAACCAAGTGGGAATTAGCCAGGCAGGCACAAAGGGTTTGCAGCAGGTCTGGGGACACAGGGGACACCGTCTTAAAGGGGCAGTGTCCCCAACAAGTCTGGGGACACGGCCTTAAAGGGGCAGTGTCCCAATCTTCCTGATGTCCCAAAAAAAGGTGTTTAAAGGGCCAGCACCAGTCACATAAAGAGTCCATAAGCCCCAATATGCCCACCGACAGTCTTAAAGGGCCATACACACCAAATAAAAGTGCATACAATTTCACAATCTCCCAGGGGCCATAGTCATGTGGGAGGAGGCTGGCAAATAGGCTTCTCCACAACCCAGGGAAGCAGGGCAATTTGCCATTTAAAGGGCCCGTTACAAATAGCAGTTTGTAACAAGGTGTCAATCCATATCTGCCAAGTGACCCGATGTATGGGGAACAGTCCCTATTCTCTCTGTGTCAGTGTGTATCATGGTCTCTGAGGACAGGTGTCAACTTACATCTGCCAAGTGACCCTATGTAGGAGGAACAGTCTCTATTCTGCTCTGTGTCAGTGTGTATCAGGGACTTAGATGTGGTGTCAATCCATATCTGCCAAGTGACCCCTTTGTAGGGAGGAACAGTCCCAATTCTGCTCTGTGACATTGGGCTTCAGGATCCTTAGGACAGGTGTCAATCCATATCTGCCAAGGACCCTATGTAGGGGGAACAGTCTCTATTCTGCTCTGTGTCAGTGTGTATCATGGTCTCTGAGGACAGGTGTCAATCCATATCTGCCAAGTGACCCGATGTAGGGGGAACAGTCCCTATTCTGCTTTGTGTCAGTGTGTATCAGGGATCCTTAGGACAGGTGTCAATCCATATCTGCCAAGTGACCCTATGTAGGGGGACCAGTCTCTATTCTGCTCTGTGTCTGTGTGCATCAGGGATCCTTAGGACAGGTGTCAATCCATATTTGCCAAGTGACCCTATGTAGGGGGACCAGTCTCTATTCTGCTCTGTGTCCGTGTGCTTCAGGGGCTCTGAGGACAGGTGTCAATCCATATGTCAAGGTGTCAATATGTCATATGTCAGGTGTCAATCCATATTGATTGTGATTTAGGAATGTTAGGTGATTTCTGCCCTTTATGGATTAAAACCAGACTCTGTATCAACTGTGTAATTTTCCATGGGAGTTTTGCCATGGATCCCCCTCCGGCATGCCACAGTCCAGGTGTTAGTCCCCTTGAAACAACTTTTCCATCCCTATTGTGGCCAGAAAGAGTCCCTGTGTGTTTTAAAATTCGCCTCCCCATTGAAGTCAATGGCGTTTCGGGCGGTTCGCCGGTTCGCGAACATTTGCGGAAGTTCGCGTTCGCCGTTCGCGAACCGAAAATTTCGGGTTCGCGACATCACTACTGCTAAATAGTACATTGTGGGGCATGCACTTCATATCTGAGAGTCAAATTGAAGCGTCTAGTAGTGCGCTTACAGCACAGTTGTAAACATTCTAATTGTTTTGCTGCTAATCTGCTAAATAGTACATTTTGGGGTGTGAACTTCATATCGGAGAGTCAAATCGAAGCGTCTAATAGTACGCTTACAGCGCACTTGTAAAAATTCTTATTTTCTGGGTGCTAATCTGCTAAATAGTACATTTTGGGCATGCTCTTCATATCTGAGAGTCAAATCGAAGCGTAACTTTGATCGAATTTACTACATCGGTCACTTGTAATTGTTTCACACCTACAACACTTGTTACACAGATCTAAGTGATAGAACACAGATTGATATTTTCTACACTAGAAACTACCAGATAACAAGCTGCTATATTTAAACCAGTTATCAATAGCTAAGAGGTACTTAAACAATATTGTAATTCTGGGGCAATACCCTCACAAGTCAAACTGAGAGATCAGTTTATAGGGAAAACTGTTGCCTGCATACAATTCTAAAACAATTTCCATATGTCCTTTGCAGACTCTACATGTTGGAAAAACACAGGTGCCAACTGCTGTGGCTTTCTGCAGTGTGCATACTGGCAAGGAGGGCAGGGTTGAGGAGTGGGTGAAAGATGATATGGAGGATGGTGAGGTCCTAGACCCCACATGGAATCAAGGTCATGCGAGTGACATGTAGTTTGGAGGAAGAGGCGCTGGTCGCACAGAGGCACCAGCACAGCATAACAGGGAGCAGGGTGCAAAAGCGGAGCGGCCGTCCCCAAGCACTCGACGGCATGTATTATCTTTAGAATTCCCACAGTTATCCAAGTAACAGTTGAAGCGATAAAAAGAAACATAACAGATGGAATGGATTAGCAGGGTCTGGTGCAGGGTACCCGCACGCCCCCTGGTGTTGAGCACCAGCGTTTGTACGGCCACATACCAGGACCCTGATGCAGCTTCAGTTAAAAGAGTACTGGATACCAGAAGCCATCACCAGACTGATCCGCAACTTGGAACAGGATGTGACATTCACTGTAGCGGCTGTGCGCACTTTTGGCGTTCTCACCCTGCTGTAGTGGAGTTTCAGCTGCAGCACGCATGGGTCAGTGGCTCTGCACCAGTCTTCCCTCCAATTGATCAGAGTTAAAGGATTTCAAGTGGACTCTAAAGAGTCATGTATTGTTATTTGTTGTCATTACCTTCCTGGGTCGAGAGTGGGTAATTTTCGCGCCTGCTGCCTTCCTTGCATGTGGTAGCTGTCAGGGTCCCTGTACGGAATCGGGCCCTGATTCCCCGTTACCTGTGGTCACCATGGTAGGCGCAGTCAATGGCACCGAAAGTTGATATGGATTGACATACGAATGCATCATTGTCTTCTCGTTGGGGAGCACATGCTCTAGCATGACGAGCTGGGTGATCTTCTCTGGGAATTTGATGGGAGTTGAGCCAGTTCTGGGCGGCCCTTATGATGCCACGGTGTATACCCAGATATATCAGAGCTGCTGCGCTTTTGGCGTTCTCAGCCTGCTGCTGCTCGCCTGTCTGCGCTGCAGCGTAACTTCGGCCTTTCCGCTCACCGCCTCATGAGCCTGTGCGAGCAGCAGCAGGCGATAGTGTAGTTTCAGATGCAGCATGCATGGGTCAGTCGCTCTGCAGAACAGTTTTATTTTTTTATATGTCCCAATATTTTGGGGGCTACCCCAACAAAAAAAAAAAAAATAATAAAAATATATATATATATATATATATAAACAGTGTTGGCTACCTCCTCCTCCTCCTCCTCCATGGCCGCTTCCACCTCCTCAACCTATGGGTCACTTAGTATAAACTATATACACAATAGCAGAGGCTTGTGAAAGCCTTTTCTCCGTGCATCAGGAGTTGAGCTTAGTTTGAACAATGAAAGAGAATACCCTGCACTCCAACCCTCTCTCAAATGGATAATTCTGGTGATCCTCCTGACAGCCATGCTCTAGATTTTGATTATGTTCTTCCAAAGCTAAAATCAAAGATTTCATCTAGTGCTATTTTATGGCTCAGCTGTATTTTTAATTTTTATGTAATTTTAAGTATACCCAGATATATCAGAACTTATCCACATTTGTTTGCAGGGCACTTTTCCTACTCTTACCCCCATTTTACTTCCTTTTGCAGCCCTCTAGCCCTTTCCAGGACTTTTTTAGAGGCATTTTTGTGGCCAAAAGTTCAGGTCCCCATTAACTTTAATGGGGTTCGGGCTCGGGGTCAAATTTGATCACGAACCCGGACTTTTTTTCAAAGTTCGGCCGAACTCACTGGACCCGAACATCCAGGTGTCCGCTGAGAAATCATTGTGTAAAGTCTGGGCTTGGAGCTCTGTACATCCCTGAAAACATTTCCACGGAATCACTTGGTTTAGGCCGGTAATTTCAAACGTTGCACCTAAACCAAGCGGCAGCCAATCGGGAGGCCGGCGCTAACCAATTTGCACCAAACGGTGTTTGGAGATGGGAGGCGTTCCGCCCGCCAATCGGGGAAAAGGGCACAAAACCAAATTGTGCCAATCGGCGCTTGGGGATGGGAGATGTGGCACGGACTTCCAGGCAGCCAGTGGGACTCTGCAGTCATGAAGCTGACTCACAGTTTCAGGAATTTTGATGGCTCACGTCTCTCTCTTCGGTGAATATCTCCACATACGTAGCACTGGAGAGAGCGCTCTTTGGGCAGCTATGAGCCTGGACTCGTAGCTCCCAGGTAGGGATCCCTTGCAGCCGCTGTCTGCCTTGCTGACAGTCCGGCTGCAGGCAGGAGGCTTCTGGATCTTCTCTGGCCAGTGATTATGGCTCCTTTAGGAGCAGGTACGGTGAGCCCCCGCAGGAGGACCTGAAAACACTACAGGCAAGCCAGTGGGTACATGTGGGTATGGCACTCAGTGACGTCAGTCTGTCACATTATACTATAGAGAAACTATAAGAGCAAAGCAAGATTTTAATTAAAAAATATATTAATAATGATAAAACTAGTATAAATCCTGAGCAGATTGGTACAGAATTTTCATAATTTTCTCTTCTGTGTACAGCCCATAAAATGCAATGTGCACCCATTTTTCCAATACCCAAACAAGACAAAAGTCCAACTGAAATTAAAAATTATCAGCCAATATCCTGATAAATACAGATACTAAAATGTATTAAGCAATATAGACAATCCTTATAAAAAATCTGTTACCTAGTCTAATAGATAAAGATCAGGGTAGATTTATTTTAGGAACACATTCAAATGATAATGTGAGAAGGATAAGTACCATTGTATTGGAGGTATCTAAAAGGAGATCCCATGCTGGTCCTGTCATTAGATGCTGAAAACGAGTTTAACAGGGTCAGCTCGAATTTCCTAGAAGAGACTTTACAAACTATAAGGTTTAGAAAGGGGGTGATAAGAGCAACTATGACTAGGGATGTGCTTGGGCAAAAAATTTGGTTCTGTTTGGCACTTCTGAAATTCGTTTTGCAATTCAGCACTTCGGTTCAGTTCAGCACTTCCAAAATTCGTGACTTTGGCAATTCGGTACTTCTGCCATTCGGCACTTTGGTTTGGTTCGGCACTTCTGAAATTCAGGACTTCAGGACTTCGAGACTCTGGCAATTCCCTAACCCTACCCCTAACTCTACACGTAACTCTAGCCCTAACCCTACCCCTAACCATAACCCTGCCCCTAACCCTACCCCTAACTATAACCCTAAGCACCACAACCACTTACACATCTGGGGTTAGAGGTAGAGGGTTAGATTCCCGTCATCATTCACGTAACTTTCCCTCCCTCTCTTGTTTTGCCACTTTTCAAAATTCCAAAGCACTTCGGCAATTCGGTTCGGTACAGCACTTCAACAATTCGGTAATTCTGCAATTCGGCAATTCGGCACTTTGGCAATTCGGCACTTTGGCAATTCGGTTCGGCACTTTGGCACTTCGGAAATTCGGCAATTGGGACATTCGGAAGCATCCAAATGTCCAAATTGCCAAAATTCGTCCGAATATACATTCAGAACAAAGCTAATTGCACGTCTATTTATGTCACTGTACACAACCTCAAGTGCTAGCATGGTGGGACAGGGAGCAGTAGAGTCCTGTTGGTACAAAATAGATCATGGAATTCAGTAGGGATGTCACATACCCCCATAATATATGTTTCAACTTTGGAATCTCTTGCGAATAAAATTATGAAAAATTCTTCTTATATCCATGGATATAAAAATCACATGGGGGAGTATAAATTTTCATTTTACGCAGATGACATCTGTCTTTAAGTAACAAATCCCAAAACATTGATACAGGTCCTATTAAAAGATATTATTAAATATTAAAATTATAAATTAAATGTAGGGAAATCATAACTAAAAGGTTTAGCCATGTAGGATGATAAACAATAGGAATTAAAAACACAATTTCCGTTTTAATGGTCCCATAGGGAGATACATTACCTGGGAATAAAAATTTGCAAAACCATAGAGGAGTACTGGATTATAATTAGGAAGATCTATTTAAAGAAACCCAGAAAAAAATTGAATAGTTGGAGAGGTACACTCATATCAAGGTTGGGAAAGATTAATTCCATACAAGCATACATTTTGGCTGTATACCGGGTACATATACAGGACTTTAGAGTGGCTGCACCTAACATATGCCTAAAAAGGTGAAAATTAGAGTAAAAAAAGGATACCTAGGTCAAGGAATACAGAGGTACACAAGAACGAGAAAACAAGCCAAGGTCAAAGGGATACAGAGAGTCAGAATAGTCAAAATGCGAAACTGGGTCAGCAACAGGAAAAACAGAATAATAATATAACACACTCTTGGGCTAACAAGAACAACGACAGGGCAATGATTCCCAGCAAGGTGGAAACTTACATATTGCAGGGAAGAATACTACTGGACACCGTCATCACCCTGCATCAGGGCACACAAAGAGGTGTGCAGGGCAGACCAAGACATCCAACAATTATGACATCACTAAAAGGGGAGTATAAAGTGTAACACCCACAGGGTCCTATAATTTCAAAAGACGCCTGTAAGTGGTGCAAGGTTGCCATGAAAACCTGGTAACCACTTCCATGGGGAGAACGCTGCATGACCTCCAAGCTGGAGGTATCCAGGAACGCAGCGTTCACCCACGGGTATCTTCGTAGTTGTCCCAGGTATGACAAGTAAAAAACCTGGGATAAATAGGAATACCTTATACTTGCATAGAAAAGGAGGCTTTAGTTTTCTAGTCTTGAAAGATACTGGGAAGCAAGCATGCTTATGCATATATTTAAGATGCAAGCGAAAGCTGCAGAAAACGATGATTGGTATGTAATAGAAAAAAGTACAGAAGGAATGGATAATTTAGAAAATGTTTTGTGGTTGCAGACAAAAGCTTTAGAAAAAATAGAAAAAAAAGTGACAGAACATGATATTAGAAGATGTATTCAGATTTTGGTATCCATTTAAAGAAAAGCTAAAGATAGACCTACTAAACTCTGCACCAATCCAAGTATTGATAAATAATATTCCTGAATTAAATATGGTGGGCTGGCATTGGATAGAGAGAATTGCCAATTTGATGGAAGAATATGATACCAAAGCCTTTCCACAAATGGCTGAGGAATTCAAACTCAGAGAAAAATAAATATTAAATTATTTAAGAATCAATTATTTTGATCAACTGAATATTTTTTATAGAGGATGAACAAACAAAATATAACCTCTTGTGAAAAGTTGTTTAATAGGGAGCCCAAAAAAGATGACTAAAAATCTATATGGATATACTGTAATTAATAGAATCCTTGAATACCCAGAACAACTTGAAATCTATGGGCAAAAAACGTGAAACTTTTAGAGGATAAAGAGGAATAGAATAATGCATGGAATTTAGTGGGGGATACCCTACGTTGTTTAAATTTACAATACGTATATTTCAAAATTATAAATAATGTCTACGTAGCACCCCAGACTATGAATAAAATAGATCCACAATACAAGAATATTTGCTGGAGATGCCATATAGGGGATAGCAAATGTATTACACACAGGGTGGCCGTGTGATCATTTCAGTACATGCTGGGAAAATACATTTATATGCTTTTCAGAAATAATCGGAAAAGAGATATCCCCTTCCCCTAAAAAAAACAAAACACTTTTTCATCTAGATTTAGAGAAACTACATAAATATTCCAAAGCCATTCATATTCTTGTGGCTGTCAAAATGACAAGAAAATGGAAAAAAGGAGGCGTGGTTTCTTGGACCCACGTAGTTAATCAAATTAACAACCAGGAACATATGGTAAGGGGATACTTTATTAATGCCAGAAATATGAATACATCTAAAAGTATTTTGGATAATTGGAATAAATTTAAAGATACAAAAAGGTCTCTAACAATCATTCTTGACTCG